TATTTTCCCGGTGCAATGGCTTGTCAACTCAACTAGCAGTGTATTGTGTTGTCATTCGATACAATGAGTTGTCAACTCGAACAGTGATATGTTGTGTTCTCAGTTAGTATATTGCGTTCTTCAGTTAAGTTGGACTATGAATTGCAGACAAATTAGAAGATTGGACTGCGATATTGTGTATAAAATACTATAAATTGACATTAAGTTAAAAAAACAGTTTACAAAACGATGTTACAGTTATTCATATATTATTTTTTAAATTTTACTCTCTTTGTTTCACTACAAATGAGTTCTATACCATGGAGCAATGAAGAGTTCTTTGTAACGCCCGTAGATGCGGACTAGTCAATTTAGAGATAATAGGGGTCGAAAACGACTTTTCGACAAAAGATTATTTAGAATAAACCAAGTTGTAGAATATGTCTCAAGGGTTCCGTTCATATAAAGAACGTCGAAATCCGAGTTATAACGAATAAGTTATGGCCCGTTGAAGTTTTTCGGCAAACCCGACACGACACCGGGAGACGTAAATAGTGAATTTACGATAGAGGACTTTTTAGCCTAAGTGATCTAAACAAAAGTTGTATTATATGTTAAACCGAGAACATACAAAAAAAGAACGCCCAAATCTGACTTCGTATGAGGAAGTTATGAATTTTCTAAGATTTGACTTAGCAGTGCACGACCCGAAACTCGAATTTTAGTTCGAGCGGTTTTTGGCTTACGCGACCTAAATGAGAGTTGAATATCTCATTAATAGGAACTCCATGGTAAAAAGATAGACGAAAACAGAGTCCGTATGAAGGAGTTACGAATTCTTCGCGTTCATTTAACAGTCTAATCTCCTCCTACTGTTAAATTTAAGATCGGTCGAGAGTTAGCCGACAGAGTCTAAATGAAAGTTTTAGATCTTGTTTTTACCTACGCGTGGAAAAAAAAGGAACGTCGAAAACGGAGCTCGTATGCGAAAGTTACGGGGTTTAGAAGTCGGCAGGGTGCTGCTGCAAAAGGGGTGACGTGGCACAATACAGGCCACACACGTTTGGCCACCAGAAAGCCGACATGTGGCATGGACTCGGCGAGTCAGTACTTCGACTCGGTGAGTCGATCAGGAATTCAGCCTATAAATAGAGGTGTCGGGTTCCCTCATTTCCTCACCCCTCAACCCTCTTCTTTCTCTCTCTATACTTTCTCTCTAAGCTCCTTAAGCCCCCCTAAAGTCTAGGTAAACCCCCTAGCACCCGAAGGAAGCCCCGAGGCTCCCGAAGCCCCGAGAAAAGAGCCTTTTGGCTCAGAAACTCTGCTCCGGCGGAGTCCGGTTTTCGAGAAAACCCGCTGTAAGTGAGCTACGCCTACGCTATTTTTAATATAGTTTTTAATTAATTATAGCAACGTTATTAGGACCTTAAAATAATTACTTGGGCTATTATTATGAGTTATATAAGAGTGTTGCTTAACGCTTATATAATAGTAATAATAGCTAGACTATTAATTAGTCGCGGTTAACGTTAGACTAAACCCTAGTGGTATTGATACTAGGTTTTGTCAAGAGAAAAATTGTTTTGAGATAACGAAGTACTGTCCGAGTACCGAGTCACCACCTAATCAAGTGAGTGCATAGTTACTTTCATCTTACACATAGATATGAAGTATTTAATATAAATTACGTGTTATGTGTGCATATTGGCTGAATACTTGCTGTCTATGCTGGGTGAAAGACTCTTATACATGTTTTAAATAATTTAAACTGTATATGTATTTTATATCTACAAAATGTGTTGGGTAAAACATGGGTAGATGTAATAGTTGTTGTGTGACCAAATAAAATAATGAGAGGCCTCAATGTTTAAGATGACCTAACCATCTAGCGGAGTATAGATGACGACCACAAACTATTTTAGACAATCCAGTGGAACACTAGCAGGCTCGTAACTTGTAGGTGTTTTTGAACTACGTATTCACTAGGTATTTTTGAACTAAGTGTTCACCATACGTTTTGAACTACGTGTTCACCATACGTTTTGAACTATGTGTTCACCATACGTTTTGAACTACGTGTTCACAATATGTTTTGAACTACGTGTTCACCAAATGTTTTGAACTGCGTGTCTACCAGATGTACCCTGTTGTATAAACCCTGGCGACTATACGACTTAGTGCCTGTTGTATAAACCTTTGCGACTATGAGACTTAGTGCCTAAACCTTGGCGACTATGCGACTTAGTGCCTGTGGAGTAAACCCTGGCAACGATGGATTTCGTGCCGATTCCTTAGGATGATCCTTAGGAATTAATGAATGAGGAATAGCGAATTCTTAGGGCAGATCCTTAAGAGTAAAGAAGATAATGGGGATGGGTAATTGGGTTGATTGTTTGAGGTTTAAACATAATAATTATATTATTGTGGGTTGAAAACCCTATGTACTCACCAGGTTTTCCAACCTGACCCACTCAAGCTTATTTGAATCACAGGTGCCGATACGAAGTTACATTACACTGAGAGATTAAAGAGGTGTAGATCACTAGTGTAAATGAATGTAAGTTCTGTTTATGCTTATGTTTCTGTATTGACAATGACATCCCAAATGTTTTAAAATGAATAAAAATACATTTCTTCGGAAATGCTTTGATAACATATTTATCATGTCTTACTGGGAACAAATTCCGCAACATTTTTATTAAAAGAAGTACTCTGATTTTTATAAAACATAAACAAAATCAGTCTTTTCTGGTCGTGAAAAATGGGGATGTCACATTCTTGGTTCTTACACATGCATATATTCATGTGTACGAGACCATCAAGTTGAACGATCCTATGTTTTGGACTCGTTTAACCAATATCTTCAACACTGAAAACCGAATGACTACAGCAAACGACCGTGACGAACTAGATTGTTGGATTAGTGTCTAAGTCCATAATTGTTTTGGTATGTACTTGACCCGATTGTGAGCATGGTCCTTTTGGGTTGCCTTCACCATAGCAACTTGTAGGATGAATTAAGGAGAGAAAGGATTAATTATGATTTATTAATATATTATAAGAATAATATGTTAAAGGAGAAATCATATTGTTTAATTAATATTGGTCAATAATTAATTAAGAATTAATTTTGTGGCTAAAAGAGATTATTTAAACTTAAGGGGACTGGAATTGTAATTATAAGATAATTGCAATTGGGCTATGGATTACCTAATAATATAGGTTGGACGAATTCTATGGGAAGCCCATAAGGAATTCGTCCAAGGGATATTCTAAAGGGGTCCATGGGCTGCTTAGGGCCTAAGCAGTCAGATTAGGGTTTCCTAAGTTCAAAACCCTAATAGCCTAAGTATATAAAGAACCCCTAAGCCCCAAAAACGTGGCCAACCTTTTCAAGAGGGTTTCTGGACGTTTTTGGAGTTCTCATTCTCTTTCTTCTCCATCTAGTTGCTTAGTGGTGTTTGTGACTACATTAGAGGTGCAACACTTGAGGCACTAAGCTTTATGAAGCCAAGGAATAGATTGTCATTGCTATATAACAATCAAAGGTTAGATCTAAACCCTATTTTATGTTAATATGATTAATTGTATGCTAGATCTAGGGTTTATAGCTTTGGATGTTCAATTGCATGTTCATTAGACAAACTATATCCAAATGTTATTAGGGTACCGAGGAGGTCATCTTGGAAGCTGCCAAGGAGGAGTACAAGTCATTAAGTGACGGGTTGGAATTCCAGTTTGAAGCCCCTTGGAATATTTTGAAATATATCCCATTTATTTAATATCTATTTCAATTTATTAAGTGAGTACTAGGTTATTTTCATGTATTACATATGTATTGGATGCACCTCCTATGTTTAATATTAATTAATAAATGTTCATTGCATTAGTTTTCATGATACATTACAATACATTACTGAAACTAACAACCATTACATGAAACAACATTACATGAAACATTAAACTTATAACATTACTACAAACAAAGCATTAAAATAAAAAACAAGTCCATGGGTTATTTTTAACGGAAAATAGATCGGTCTACAGGAAATACTGATTATTTTTAACAACCTTCCAAACTTCCTCATATTCGAAGTCTCTGCCTTCACGCTCACAGATGTAAAAATCTGTAACAACTTCCAAGAACTCTTCTTCGTCCCGACAATGAAGTTTGGTACTTTTCGCATAATTAAACGCTCGATTGAACCATGTGACTTCTTCCTTTACATCTATCCATTTACTAACAACATCTGGTTGTTGTCGTTGTTGTCCTTCTTCCATCTCATGGTTGAACAAAGCTGTTATGCGGGTCCATTCATCACCTACTAGGCAATGCGGGGGAGCAAGTAACGGTACACCCTCCTTAACACTTAGCCAACATCGTGTTAGAACCAACAACTCATTTCTCGTCCATGGTCGTTCAGAATTGGAACCAGGTAGTTCATTCGAAGAAGTTGCTGCATTCGACGACATTTCTAAATATGGGAGTTGGTTTCGTTTAGGTGATATGGGTGTTTGGTTTGTAGATCTTAAACATCTATTTATATTAATAAATACAGGACTATGAATTACAACTTTGACTACGAAATGGTTGCATTTGGACTATGATTTGCAGGTTACTGCAATGACTTATCATGTCAAACAGTCATTTATGTCTTGTCACTTCAGATTTTGACTACGATTTGCAGGTTACTACAGTGACTTGTCATTAATGTGTAGTCATTTCAAAGTTCGACTATGAATTACAACTCTGACTACGAAATGGTTGAATTTGGACTAGTATGTATAAATACCACTTATAGCATCAGTTTATTATAATCTCGACTTTATTATGAGTTCCTCTCAAAAATTCGAAGCTTGCACATGCAACGAAGTAGATTGTTACTACTTTGATTCAGTCGACCCTTTTTTTACACCCTCTTCCGCCGGGCCATATATGTCAGATGAAATTTTTGAAAAATTGAAGAAGGCTGAAGAACAACAAGAACAGGACAAAGAGTCATCCCGACTTCTCACTCAACATGGTAATGATATTGCATCAGAATGCAAACAAGCTCAAGAATGGGTATACCTCAATAAAAACAAAATCAAAGAGCATGAAGAATGGATAAAAAAGACTAAGAAGGCAATCAAAACGACTGAAAAATGGATTGCTGAGAAGGACGAGCAGTTGATACACATTAGGGTGCAAAAGGATCGTTTGGAAGATAAAATGAGAATTAGGGATGACTATATAACAATCGAGAAAGAGAAGTACCCATTGCAGTTCCCTGAGTTTAAAAATTAGTTACAAAAATGTTGTAATATTATCATGATACACCTTAGGGTGCAAAAGGATCGTTTGTTTTTTTTTTAAATAACATATTGTAATTGTTATAATCTGCAAACTAAATATTATAATATAAAAGCTTCATTAATTGTTATAATCTGCAAACTAAACTAAAATATGAAAGCATAGCAATGTCTTGTAAGATTTAATACAAAAATTACAATACATAATAAGTTAACAACTCTTCATTTCAAGGCTGTTTTATATCAAAATCAGCGTCATAGGTTTGCGAGCAACTCGCCGAACCACCAATATTAAATGCCATTTTTGCAGTAGAAATTGTGTGACGCGCTCCACTACCGGACGCCCTTCCAGTACAATTGTTTCTCGTGTGTCCTAGTTGACCACATGTACAACACTCTTTTCTAATTGGACCCTCGCCTTGGGATGGAATGCGGTCTGTGTTTCTTGGCCTGCCTGGCTGACATTTATCCATTATAGGTGGCTTAACAATCATCAAATCATCGGGGATATCCCATTCAGATGGATTTAGCAAAGAGTTTATTGATTCCTCATACGTTTTCCTCAGTGTTTCGGTAAAGCAAGCATTTAATGCATACCTCGAGCAGTCTTGGTAATTGTTCACTGTTAAACATCTTATGACATGACCACAAGGTATCCCATCGAGTTGCAAATGCCTACATGTACATGTCATATGTTGGAAATCAACAATCACGTTTTGTGCCCCCTTTTTGACCTCGCATTTCGTATTTGAGATCATGCGAACATCCCACTTACTAAAAGTTTGTTTGTTTGCTTGTCGATGATTAGGTTGCAAAATTGTTGAAGAACATGTGTGTACATCAACAAATTTATTCACTTGGAAAAGTCCATCAGAATTTTTAATTGTTTTTGCTCTTAGTAACCAAAAACAATTTTTCGAAACACACACAACCTCATACCTTGATTTGGTGGATCTACTTGTCCTCGTCTGAAAACCTTCTCGAAGACATTTTTTACCAATACACCGCTTTAAAAGTTCTTTGTTCTTAAATATACTCTCTCATTCAATCTTTTGAAAATTGATATCTACCATCTGTGTTGGGATATCTTCATTAATATCAACTGGGCATGTTGGTAGAGGGGGCATACCGTAAAAAGGTTATCGGGAAACTTAGCTTTATCTTCATCACCCAACTCATCTCCATATGAATTGCTTTTTAAGTCGGTTATATCTAAACCTACATCAACAACATCAACATAATCCCCGTAAACATGGTTCTTTTCATCTTTTTGACGCATAATTTTTTTCTTTTTACTTTTATCTACTACACGCCTATTCATAACTTTAACTTCTTGTTCGGGAACATCAACACAACGACCACCCACGTCATTAAGATATGTACCAACATCATCATCACCAACATACTTGTAATTCTCAGGATCCACATAGTGAATAGGTGAATAACTAACATTAATATTTTCAGCAACACTGTGAAATTGAGGTACACTGGGAGTATTGAAAGTACCTATCGGATCGTTGCTCCCTTTATAGCTGCATAAATTACCAACCGGCTGATTTCCACTGTGACCAGCCTCATTAACCTCATCTCCTTCATCAACCACCATAAACACTTTCACAGCCCTTCCTCCGCTACATTTGATTACATTTATCAACATTCTAACATCCATATCTTCAACTATAGCTATATAATATTTCAATTCAGGATGATGGAAACGAAGACTAATTCTATATTTGTCTAACAAACCAATTTTGCTTCTCACCAGAGATACAAATTCACTATAACTAATATACTCAGAAAATATCAAAGCGAATTCAGAAATACCTCCCTGTGGACATACATATTCCAGATTTGTTTCAATAACTTGTCATCTTCCACCGGTTACAAGACAAACCAAATATTCAATCATTTTTTTGAGAGAGATTTTAAAAAAATTTCCTAAAGAAATAACAACTAAACTGATAATTTTCTACAAAAGTTTATATATAGTAAGGTTATTTCGTAGTCAAACCAAATGATTTCATAGTAAAAAAAAACATAATTTCGCAGATGGAAATAGAGAGGAAATCGCAGATGGACTGTGTCCATCTGCGATTTAAGCCTGGTATAACCCCTACATATACACAAAAAAAAATATAAAAAATACCCCACCTGCGAATGTACAAGTGGCTAAAGCACAGTTGTGCTTTACCCACTTGTACATTCGCAGATGGGGTGTGAAAATCGCAAATGGACCATTCCCATCTGCGATTTATGTGGCAAATTTGCAATTCCTATTTTTTTTTTACTATTTTCCACAAAGTAATTAGTATATTCGACTATTTTTGTCATTTTCTCAAAATAATTATGTAAAGCTGGAAAGGAAACACTTCAATCGGTCGGACGGACCGGGGCTGTAAGAACCCGAACAGGAGCCATAAGCATGTGATAGTACTATAATTCAACCCAATGAAGCGAATATGGGTTTAAAGAAATAAAAAAGCCCTAATCGAATCGACAAGAGTGAGCAAGACAGAGGCCCGTGAACCCCCTCGCCGATCGCCGTGCGACTGCTCCGTCGCAAGTGTGCTCCGCCTCTGCTTCATTTTCGCCTTTACCGTTATCGCTTGCCCCGGCGTCTGTTTGGTTCTCTCTGCTGTGGGCGTACGACACAGGTTGGTTTGCATTTACAAGTGTAATATCTCTGCACTGATAAGAATATATTAAGTATTTATTCATGTTACAATACTTAATTCCTGATAATTGATTAGAAATACTTGTTTAGGATCTTGAATTTTTATGAATTTGTAACCTTCTGACTGTTGAGCTCTCCTAATTATCTAAAAGGTTCCGAGTCAGACTGCTCTCTACTGTTTATGATTAAAAAAAACAGTATTCAATTATTTGGCCCATGATATAATTGTTGTTGAAGCTGGTATCACTGACTGGTTCTGATACGTTCTAAATGTCAAATCACTGATTTAGTACACTGCACCTGTGTTTTTGAGGAATGAGGATAAAGTGGCACTGCACAAGCTCTGTTCTATAAGTGTAGATAAATCTCTCTAGCGCTTGTTGCATACTGAATCGTTCTGATGGGTTTTTAATATCAATATTTTTTGCTCAATGGTTGAGTAGTGAGATGGCTGTGTTTTGTTGTATTATACAATTTGTGACTCCTGTTAGATTGAAGTAAATGAAATACACATGCAAATTGTATATTGCTGGTTACTGTAAAGACTCCATTTGTGCTTTCTCATATTTGCATTCTAGTGCTTTGTTACTGCCTTACAATCCAAATGTCAACAATACTCATGGTCATTGTTTATAATTTGGGATTTTGTAATAATAATTAGGATAAATTGTGATGACTGGGTGCATCATGCATCACTCTTTACTTTTATACAGTCTGTAGATAATTGTGCATTTGAGTTGGTTTAAGTGTGGATCCTATGACCTATGGTGAATCTAGAATACTTGGATTAACACCAGCTTTGATTCTGTTTTCACCATCTTATATAAGAATGTCCGTGTCAGATTGGATTCAACATTACACTTCAAAATCGAGACACAAATCTTTAATTGGGTTTGAATATTACACTTGAAATGGAAATAATAGTTTTAGTTGTTTTAAAAAATCGATATTTGATGAACTTAAGTAAATTTTCTTTTTCCAATTTCATTTTGCAGATCAGATTATGGAACCATCATCACCCATTGAAGGAAAATCTTCAACACCATCAACTCCAACTACTGCACCTGCTTCAGTTGTCAGTACACCCACCTTAAAAGATGGAGACACTGTCAGCACTGAGTCAATGCATGGCTCTGTTGCCTCCATCCCTTCTCTTTCATACAGCGTGCCTCAAAATGCTAATAGAAACTCCGAGAGCCCTCATCATTCATCATTTAACACTGTTAGTGGATCCCTCTGAAGTCTGAACCTATCTTTTTTCTGCTTGTTGGAAGTGTTTTTACCAATTACTTCATTACCCAAATAGGCAAATATTGTTGTCAAGTTGTTGCAAGCCTTTTGTGCATATAGTCAACTAACTTTTGATTATAACTGCAGGCAATGATAAATTCACCAGGTTCTTCTTCATTTCCAAGACCTCCTGTTCCTGGTATTTCTTCTAGCAGTGCTCCTTCATTTTCATATAACATTCCACAAACTGAAGTTGCTGTGTCTGGTGGTCAGTCATTCCATTCAAGAATGGTAATGATGAATTTCTCTATACTTCCATCCAGACATTTACTTGTTATATGATTTGTTCTTATCATGTAAACTCTTCTAAAGTACGACCTTTTACATTCGAATGAAATGTCAATATTCTTTTCCAGTTGGATGTAATAGGAATCTATAAAAAAACTTGTGATTTTATTACAAAGAGTGGACCATTAGAACCTTTGCCTGTTTATTTATTTATTTAATGCTTTGTTCATTGGTTCTGAAATGTAATAAACATCCTTATCAGGTGGTTGCCTCTGAAGTGCCAAAGAATGTCTCAGTTTCTCCTACATCTTTGCAACCTCCTGTTTCTGGACAGCTGGCACATCCCAGTTCATTTATACGAGGAATGCCACCACCTCCACCTGTTGCTGTCCCTAGAGACACTTCATCAAATGCTGCTAATTTCTCTTACAATGGACATCATCAGTCTGTATCTTCTGCGCCACCTGTCCCTCATTCGACTTTAGGTCCCACATCTACAAATTTTTCACCAACATTCTGGATGCCATCTGGACCACCTTTTCAACAACCTCCAGGAAGAGCTGCATCAGCACTACCACCCCCTCCTAACACCACTGTTGCCTCTTCACAGCAGCCAATTTATGGTTCCTATGCTTCCAATCCTCCTCCTCAAGGAGTCTGGATTCAGCCTGCACCAATTGGTGGCTTGTCAAGACCCCCAATTTTACCATATCCTCCTCCTGCTGCTTTTCCTGGTTCCTTTTCATTGCCAGCTCAGCGTATGCCACCACCATCTGATGCTCAGCCTCCTGGTACTTCCACTGGAGTTCCTGGCATAGCTTCTGACAGCATGCCATCTGTTGCTTCTGTGATGCCACTTGAATTACCTCCAGGGACTGGTATGTCATATGTGCGAGTTAATTGATAATGTCCAGAAGTGAATTTGCTGGGGTTTAGTTGAGTTATTTATTTATGTTTGGGTTTTTGCAGACAATAGCAAGCATGCAAATGCTGTTGGTGTTGAACAGTTGGATGCATGGTCAGCCCACAGGACTGAGACAGGAATCTTGTACTATTATAATTCTGTGACAGGACAGTCTACTTACCAGAAACCTCCTGGTTTTAAGGGAGAGGTAAGTACAATGTTTCATGTCAACTGTTCTTTGGTGTATTGTGCTGATTTTATCCTTTCATGATTTATATATGTGCTTTCCTAATTAAACTAATTTTGCATTTTTTTTCTTTCACATTCTTGATATGTACTTGTTGGCAGCCTGAAAGAGTTTATGCACAACCGACTCCAATTTCGTGGTGAGTCTTCACATGCTTCAGTTGGATACTCGTTTTATTATTTTCGTCACTCTTAGCCCCTTTTAATTGTCAAGTATCTGCCTTTTTCATTATTTATTTGTTATATTTTGTTCAGGGAGAAGTGTGCTGGCACTGATTGGTCACTGGTTACCACAAATGATGGCAAAAGATACTACTACAATGCTAAAACCAAGGTAAAGTGAGCTCTATTTTCAACTTGGTATTAGAAAATTTTCGTTTTTAAAACATGATGATTGTTATGAAAAATATAATCTTTATCTGGTTGATCAGTTGAGCAGCTGGCAAATACCAACGGATGTGGCCGAGCAAAGAAAAAAGCAAGAGAGTGATGTATTGAATTTGAAAGAACAATCAATGTCAGTGCCAAATACTAGTTTAACTGAAAAAGGATCTGGTCCTTTAAGCTTGAGTGCCCCTGCTATTCACACAGGTGGTCGTGATGCAATATCAGGTGTACCTGTGACGTCGTCATCTTCATCTGCACTGGATTTGATAAAAAAGAAACTTCAAGATCCCACAGCCCCTTTACCACACCCAACCCCACCAGGAGGAGAAAAGTCGTCTGAATTGAATGGTGGTGATCAAGTAGGGAGTGAGAATGGAAAAGATAAAGTAAAAGATGAAAATGCTGATGGAAATCTATCAGACACTTCTTCAGATTCAGAGGATGTGGACAGTGGACCAACCAAAGAGGAACGTGCCCTTCAATTTAAGGTATCTTCTATATTCATTTTATTATTGTCATCTTAGGGGCTGTTTCTTGTTTTTTTTTTTTTTTCATCAAGTCCTGTATGGGTAAAGTAGCTGAATCTGTAATGATGCTTATATGGATAAACTGCTGTACACACAAGGTCTGTTTCTTTTTCTAGACTGAATAACCCGTCTAAAACTCTGAATGAGTCTAAATGATCGATTTACCCTTGCATTCCAAAAAAAATCACAAATATTTGTCAATTTTAACATGATAAAAGTTAGAGGAAAAAAGAAGGGCAAATAGGTAAAAAGTTAGTGTCTTAATGCACTAAGTTGGGTTTTTTTGGCTTAACCCATTAAGTCATTCTGTCTAGTTTAAGTAAAAAATAGTCATCAAGTGGTTAACCCATTAAGCCTATTAAATAAAAAAGAAACAGCCATTTAAGCAGACATTGCTTTAGACTTGTTTCGTTGATGCACTGGCATTTAATATTTATGGAATATTCAGGAGATGCTCAAGGAGCGTGGAGTGGCTCCATTTTCAAAATGGGAAAAGGAGCTTCCAAAATTCGTGTTTGATCCACGTTTTAAGGTTTGTGATTCTTGTTTTTAAAGTTTTTGTTTACTTTTACTTATTGAGTGTAAAAAAAAAAACAATATTGTTTTGCAGGCAATACCGAGTTATAGTGCAAGAAGAGCTATTTTTGATCATTTTGTTCGAACACGTGCTGAAGAAGAACGCAAAGAAAAACGAGCAGCTCAGAAGGCTGCAATCGAAGGCTACAGAAGGTTACTGGATGAGGCGAAGGAGGTTTGCTTTAAGTCTGTCTCTAATTTTAAGCCTCAAAATATTTTCATTTTTTATATTTTTCATAATAAAATAAATTGCCGTTGTAATTTGTTATCATCCTGTCAGGATATCAACCACCACACCGATTATCAAACATTTAAAAGAAAATGGGGTCATGATCCACGGTTTGAGGCCTTGAACAGGAAGGATCGTGAAGCTTTATTAAATGAAAGGTGATTTCTTTTATTGTGTACTTTTTTTTTTAGTATGTTGGTGAAGCTAAAATATATTGTTTCTGTTTAAGGGTTATTCCTCTAAGGAGGTCTGTTGAAGAAGAGGCGCGTGCAAAACGTGCAGCCTCTGTGTCTACTTTCAAGTCAATGCTGAAGGATAACAAGGACATTTCCTCCACTTCTCGTTGGTACAAGGTTAGTAAAAATACCTTTGAGTTTCTAAAAACCAAAAGTAGATTGTGTATTTATTTTATTTTTTTCAACTTTTGATCTTGAAGGTTAAGGATATTTTAAGAAATGACCCTCGATACAAATCTGTTAGGCATGAGGATAGGGAAGCTATATTTAATGAATATATTTCCGAGTTAAAAGTTTGTGAAGATGAAGCTGAAAGCATAGCAAAGGCAAAACGAGATGAGGAGGTACACCATTTAATTATTATTTATTATTTGAAAAACATGTTCATAAATATATTTATTAAATACAGGAGAAGTTGAGGGAAAGAGAACGGGCATTGCGTAAGAGGAAAGAGAGAGAAGAACAGGAAGTAGAGAGGGTGCGTTCAAAAGCTAGAAGAAAGGAAGCCATTGAGTCATATCAAGCATTACTTGTAGAAACAATCAAAGATCCACAGGTACTTTGGATACAGTTTTATGATAGTATAATGATTCTATTTAATTAATTGGATGATTTAGGTTTCATGGACGGATGCAAAGGTTAAGCTAGAGAAGGATCCTCAAGGGCGTGCAGCCAATTCATATCTAGACCAATCAGATCTTGAAAAGCTTTTCCGTGAACATGTCAAGTCATTGCATGATGTAAGTTAGCCTCATTAACAGCAGTACTTCTCTTCTGAGGGTAAAATGGTCATTCAGTTAAAAAAAACAATATCTTTACGTAAATGATTTTATTTTGTTGTTGTCTCAGCGATGTGCACATGAGTTTAAAGCGTTGTTATCGGAAGTGATAACGAGTGAAGCGTCTACAAAAGAATATGAAGATGGCAAGACGGTTTTGACTTCATGGTCAACAGCCAAAGAGCTTCTAAAAGACGACACCAGATACAACAAAATGCCTAGAAAAGATCGTGAATCCTTGTGGAGGCGACACGTGGAAGATCTCCTCCGTCGAAAGCGCAAGTCAACAGTTGACCAACAAGACTCATCAGATAAACATGGAGATGATAGAACAGCTGATTCTAGGAAATACGTTTCAGCTTCTAGAAGAAACTACGATCCTCGTCGTTAGCTTTGTTATTTTAGAGCTATATATTATATATCATTTGAGATTTTATCCGCCTTACATGTGATCTTTTGTATTTTTTTTGGTGTACCATGGCTAGAGTTATTTTGATTGGTTATCATATCATGTCATAGCGCTTCTATTTAAAGAACATTTGTGTCCAACCAAGCAATTTCACCAAAAATTGAATCCTTGTCGAAATGTTCACCAAACAATTTCATTAGAAGTTACTTTATCTGAAAATTTAACAAAATTGTTTGTAGTAACTAACAATCATATACAAATAAGCAACTTTAATTGAAAATTTTGCCAAAAAGTTGCAAGTTTGAAGCAAAAAGATCCCAAATTTATTGCAACTTTCATAAAGCCAATGAAAACTCGACGGAAGTTTCAAAACCATAAACTTTCAGGCCACAAACAGCAAGCCTCACTGGTTTCCTCAAAACTCGACTCCAAAAGAAACAGAAGCAAAAACAATTCATCTTTTTTCAATAAATATTTCAGTAGTGATTTAGGCCCTGCTTCTTTTGCCGTCAACTACTGTCCCCATCTCCATAAACGATTCTTAAATAATATTTTAGAAAATGACAAGGTACTTGAGAAAGAGACTAATAGACCATTATACCCTTCCATTCCAAAAACCAAGTTCAACAATATTCATCAATTTTAACAATTTTAATCAACAGAGTTGGGATCAAAAAAAGAAAGGCAAATAAGTAAAGCGTTAAATGTGTTAATACATTAAGCCAAGTTTTTTGGCTTAACCCATCAGGTCATTCTGTCCGGTTTAAGTGAAAAGGCAACATTCATGTGTGCTGTCCAACTTAAGTGCTTAACCCATTAAGCTCATCAAGTCAAAAAGAAACTCCTTCCATCAAGTCCAATAAAAAAATACACACCAATAACAATCAACTGTTTCACAAAAAACAATATTATCCGTTGCATTATTCAATAAATCATCAGGGATAAAAAAAACACATCTCCTAAACAACATAATTCAACTACATAATTAATACATAAATTTACAGATTTAAATCATTTCACAATGCCAAAAAAAAAACATCATCAAAAGGGCAATACAGTAAAAAGGAGAATAAAGGAAGTACCTCTCTGAGTCTAAGCAAGAAACAAAGCTTCCAAATAATCATCAATATAAGCAAGACACGGCCAATGATCCGTTCTAATCCTAACCAAAGTCGATCCAACCCCAACTTCCATTTGAAATAAAAGATGATACATCGGAGGAAGAAATATCAATACATAAAAACACCCCATTTTTCTTTTATTCAAATAACCCCCATTTTCATTTCCATTTTCACCATACTCCAAATAAAGTGGGCCCTCACCCACATTCAAATCCGCCACCACAACATCAAGATCACCGCAATCTTTCAAAACCACATCACTTAAAACCCCTCCATCCTTCACAACATCAATAAGCGAATCCCCAACAACATTCACAACAAAACGCGCTAAATTCCGTTCAACTCCTCGAACAAGTTCCCTCGCCGGAATTTCAAGAAACTTCACGGACCGTGTCCCGTTCACGGCAGCAACACCTCTGCCGCCCTTCACCGGAAAAGTCTCCCGCCCGGTGCTCGATGAACTCCCGCATGCTTCCCATAACGCGTTAAACAAATCTATGTAATACCCGGGTACCGAATCTTTATCAACATCTTCGGGGACAATCGCGTTTAAAAACATGTCCTCGATCCCCACGGTAACACTATGGAGGTGACCACACACGATCTGACCGTTTTCCGTGTTCGATTCTATCGACACATCGATGAGTCCCGGTGTCGGTTCTTGTGGCTGCAATTCAATCAAAACGGGTGATTTGAAGTTGTCATCTTCTTTTATATGCCCGTTGCCAGCTGGCACGAGTTCTAGGGAATCGGGTGTATTCTTTTTGGTGGGTCCCCCGAGGAGAAATGGTATGCGGTATGGTTGGATCGACCCGTATGGAGCTGAAGATGAGAACTTGAGGACAGTTGCATATAATGCGGGAAGCAATTCGGGTTCGGCCCCACCCCATATTCGATTGAAGGGTTCTGATTGGAAGCTTAAGTTACATGATATTACGATTTTGATCCCTTCCATGTGTCTGAAATCAGGGATTGAAGAAAAGTGTCTTCTCAAGATTTCAACGATTTCTGAAACTTTTGAATCGGTTACACGAAGGGGTTCATTTGGGCCTTCGATTGCAGGGATGATTGGGGTATTATCGGTATTATTAATACTATTTGGGGTTTCTGGTTGCCATGATGAGGTGTCATTGTCTCTGATGACTTCAAGATTGTTGTTGTTACTAATGTTGAAAGACGATAAAGATAAGGACCAAGATTGTTTGACTAATAGGGGTTTGACTCGGTCAAGGTGGATGTAGGATGAAATATGTTTTGATTTTTTGGAATCCAAAGAAAATTTTGGAGATTGGATGTTGAAGAATGAGGTAGAATGAGAAGATGGTGGAATCCCGGGGAGTTGATCCCCGGTTGTTAGCAAGTGTCTGAGCTTGTTTCCTGGCACACAGAGTAGCATCCGCAAGTATATTCTGAAAATGCAAGAAATAGCAATGTAATTAATATGCGTAAATGACCATATTACCCTTGTGAGAATAGTGAAAGATTGGTTTTCTTTGATACCTTGCATTGTCACGGACTTCAAGATCTGGAAAATGTAAGCAGGTGAACGCAAGGAGACGAGATAACCCAAGAAAGAATCGAGAGCTTTGGTGATGCATCAATATTGTTCTACAAAGAACAAGAACTTTACTTCCTTGAGACCATGATCTTAATCCTGTATCTGGGCCATGTTTTTCAACTAAAATACGCATGTATTTACCATAAAGCTCTAGCAATCCACCTGGTGGAACTGTTTCATTTTCAGCAATTTTTTCAAAAAGTGGGAAATAAGATCCCAATCGATAGTCTACTTTGACCTTTGGAAGCAAATGATTGTTGAATGTTTGAAGCAGACGTTCTCCAAACACATGGTGCTTATGACACCTCAGCAAGCGGTTCACAAAAGCTACAATCACAGGAATCAATCCCTGAGAGTTTAGTGTCATGGACACTAGCATCCTCTGCACAATGGAAGTTTGATGCATAAATATGAATATGACCTAATCTATATAAGTGGAATGTAGCTATGAAAGATCTTACATTTTACCTCTGAAGCATGGAAGATTGTGGACTCCATGAGAGTTCTGGTGGAAGAACCATTATCAGAATGAGAAGATGCTCCTATCAAAAGTTTATGAAACATCCTGAATGCAACTGAAGTTTCAGTGCTCCATGGTGGCAACCATTTGAAACCAGATACAGATTCAAGACCATCTTCAAATAGCTTCACTACAGGGACATCAGAAACCATCTGACCATTACCATTTGCATCTGCCACTCTTGACATGTCGAGTAAAATTGAACAATATGCAATCAAATCAAGCTTCAAAGCCTTCAAAGCAAGTGGATCGAATACACTTGGGTAAAATCTTAAAGCTGTTGCAAAGATTCTCTCTTTAATGACCTTTCTTGTTGACATCACTATTCCCATGAAGCCCAATAACCAGTGAAGTGCAAGCACTCTGAAAACCAAAACATGTTGTGTTTCCCTTGAAATTAGCAACAAACGGCTGATAACTTCATTTTCTTGTCCACTAAAAGCTTCGGGGAATTTCAAATACATTCCTAGAAATGCGTGGCATAGCAGCATATCGAATGTATAAAGTAACCCAGAAAACTGCACCTTCAACAATGAAGCCTGCAACTCCAATGCTACAGCCACCGGCATTATAATGGACATGAACTCAAATAACCCAAAAGGTGTCAAAAATGGAGGCCATTCAAGCAAGAAAGACATTACCCTCCTCAATTCCTTAATCGGTAAAACAGAATTCTCTCTGGCTGAACCTCCTCCGATCAAAAACTGGGGAACATTGAATGGTATCAACGGAATTGAAGTTGTAAGAATTGAAACGTTTACCTTCGAGATCACTATTCCATGAACGATACTTGCTAGCATTAATACATAGCTTTGAGCAACATGAGTTTTCTCGCTTTGACATAATGTCCACAAATGTCCAGCTGTTTCTGATAACAAGCTAGGGCATTCTCTCTCTAATTCACGCAAACACTCGCATGCGGAACCACGTAGCTGTCGATCTACACCATGATTTGGGCGGTTTACAACCGTCAACAACACCTCAATCAAACCCTCGAGTTGACTTGTGTAAGTCAAACAAGGCGTTTTACTATCCTCGCTGTTATCGATGGTAGAAAGTATGAATATAGATGTAGTTGATACGAGTAGCTGTTCTTTGAGGGAATAAGTGACTGAAACGCCGTCGACCGGAGAATTGATGACGGAGCGAAGTGTTTCGAGGAAGCGAGCTAGGGTGTTTTCCGTTTCGGTATCGGATTCCGGCGATGGAAAAAACGTGGTGAAGTATTCTTCAAGGAAGACGATGAGGTGTAGCTTGAGGTTGAGTGGGAGATCTTTGCGGGAGATGGATGATAGACAGAGGTCGATGAGAGAGATACCGGTGTAGTTCAATGAAATCCAGCGGTCACGGCGGTATCCACCGTACTGGTGGTCGTCGATTAAAGACTCCCACTCTGGCGGCGTCAGTGGTTTCAGTGGTGTCGGCGCCGGAGCCGGAGCCGGATTGTTCTCCATCTTGGCCGTGTATCTTCATAGTTTTGCTTCCTTTTGTAGATTGGTACTTTGGAGTTTGGTCGTTTAGTTTAGTTTAGATAAAAGAAGATAAAGTCCCTAAGTTCTAAATTCATAACATTTTAGTCCTTTTGATTTTGAAAATTCTTGTTGCCAACACGATAATTATGATTAATAATGTCAAACATAATTAGCTTTTGAAAAACTAGTAACACTATTTCCATGTGATTTTCTTTCATAATACTTAAACTCTAAGTAACTCTACCTTTCATATGCTTTAATTTCAAAATAAGCCAATTGAACATGACAAGATAATCAAATTTGAATATTGAATTTGGATCATGTGAAACACTTTCCTGTTAGCAGATCCATCAAAATGGATAAACATCAAGAACGATAAATTTTAGGGATTAAAGGCAGTTTGAACGAAAACATTTAAATTTTAAGACCAAATATTTATGACCAAAATTACACGACCAAGTTTTAGTACAAAACTTTCAGCAGCAGCAGTGTGCACATGTTTTGTGTTCACAATCCTCCTAAACCATTTAGATTATGAGGCGTTGCCCCTTTACCCTGTAAGTGGGCACAAAGTGTGTCATTCGTCACGCCCAAAATCACACTAGTCTAAACAAGTATGCACTTTAACTAACTTGTATTTGAGCATAGTCTAACATTTCAATAAATTGTAATTTCAACTACCTAAAAATGCTTATTCTTAACGGGGATATATACACTAAAGTCCCAATATTTTCATCGATTTGACAAGGAAGTCCTAAACTTTATTTTTTTGACAGTAAAGTCCAAATTACCGCCAGTTTTTGACACTTTTACCTTTTTTTCCGGTTAGCCGGTAATTAAGATTTTTTTTGTCAAAAAATAAAGTTTAGGACTTTCTTGTCAAATCGTCAATTAGGACTTTACTGTCAAAAAAATAAAGTTTATGATTTTCTTGTCAAATTGTTGAAAACATTGGGACTTTAGTGTATAAAATACTGCGGAAGCTTTGTTACAATGGTGGTGGTGGTGATTGTAGGTGAATGAATTCGATGATCCCAAACTTAGAACTTATGCCCTTATATAGATGGGCTTACAAACTATTGGACAAGAATAAAACGTAAGCGATGACGTTTAAACAATGGCCATTATTTAATTTGTTACATGTGGCCGACAATCTTGATAATTATAAAGATACTTTTAACAAGTGGTGGGGACTTCTTGAAGATTTCTGAACATCCAAACAACTCAACTTTTGAAAACCCGTGATATGTGAAATAATTTCACATACGGGCCCTGCTAGCTTTTGGATAAAGGTATGGATCCATGGGACGATTCAATTTTATCGTTTTTAGACAATAATCATCCCACCCGGGGTCCACAATAAAAATTGAATCGTCATCACGGTTGTCACTATCTTCTAGAAATCCTTTGCTGTTGTAGCGGCATTTGTTTTCTTTTTGGTTATTGTCTTAGGCTTCCATGGGCTTAGATATTATTGCGGCCCAATCGTTGTGCGAGGGCTTCCAGTTCGATGAGGATTCTTCGGGCTTCTTTGTTTTGGATTCGAACATCTTCCTTTTGGTCAGACCAATGGTTGTCTCTTGTTGTTTTTCCAAAGCAGACTTGAGCTTTGCACTGTATGATTGCTTGTAAATTTCGCATTGCTTTGATCGCTTCTTTTGCTGCTGATAATTCGATATCTTGGGCGACTGATCTCCATGCATCAGATTTATCCATTCTGATTGGGGTTTGATTGGCTCTAAGCTGGTATTGTCTGTACATTGCTCCTGGTTCTTCCAGTGTGAAGATTGTTTTAGTAAAGATTCTTGGGAGTGGTTGAAAGTCTTCATGATTTCTTCGCAAGTAATCTTCATATTCTTCTGAGAGGCAGAAGGGGATTGTAGAACTTCCTCCACTGAGTAAAGGGCTGCCGCTGCTAACCGTTTCATTTCTCCTGTGCATTCTGCAAAACAAAGGTTAACAAGTCTTGAGAGAGAATCAGCTAGTGTATTATGTTTCCCTTCTATATGCTCTATGTTAATCTTGACGCCTGTTCCTGTGACTGCATCTGCAAACTTTATCCACCTGACCCTTGAGGATTTGTTGCTATTAGCTTTGTTGTAAAAGCTAATAATGGCTTGGCAATCTGTCCTTAAAGTGATTTCTTGTTTATCAAGGTAGTAGATTTTTAGTTTCTCCGGAGTGTTGATGCAGGCATTGATTTCAGCATCAATTGTGGATTGGGTTGTTGAGAACTTGCCACTTACATATGCATAAATCTTTTCTGGGCTTCTTGGTCCTTCCTTTTTGTTCTTCCATTTGACTATACCTCCCCATCCTTCCATACATCCGTCTGTTTCTAGGATGATATAAGCATCTTCAGGTGGTATCTCAAGGTCTGGGAGATTCTGAACTTGCATCTTGATCCTTTTTATTAACTCATAATCAGAGCGCTTCAATCTTTTGTCTCCATGAGCATTTGTCTTTTCGTACAGTGGCCTTAATAGTATCCCAAGTTTTGGGATATGATTACGAGCATAGTTAAGGATTCATAAGAATGACCTTAACCCCTTCTTTGTCTTCAATTCTTCTTCGTTGAAGTTCACAATCTTCTTTATGATGTGCGGTTGCAACCTTATTGTTCCTTCTCCTACGACTACTCCCAGAAAATCTATTGTTGGGACTGCTATCTTCATCTTTGTTGGAGATAGGACTAGGCCATTATCCTCACATATTTGCAACATCTTTTCCAAGTGCTTTGCATGTTCTTTTTCGTTTTTTTGAGAAAACCAGTATATCATCAATATATACTGCGATAAATGAATCTGTTCCTCTGAAGCATTTATCCATTTTTCTTTGGAACACTGCTGGGGCATTCTTCAAACCAAATGGCATAACTAGCCATTCAAAAAGTCCTCCAGGTACTAAGAATTCTGTCCATGGTATTGATTCTTCATCCATGGCGACTTGATGGAACCCTGATTTGAGATCAAATTTTGAGAATATTTTTGCACCTCCTATTCTCTTGATGATCGTATTTATGCCTGGTAAGGAGTATTGGTCCTTGTATGTGTTGTCATTCAAGGATTTATAATTAAAAACCATTCTTTCTTTCAATGATTTAAAGGTTCTTCTCTGATGTATCCTTGGAGCTTTAACCTATCAATGACAGGTTTAAACCGTTCTAGGAATGCATTGTTACCTTCTTGGTTGAAATAAATAGATTCATTTATTTCAAAGAAATCTTCTTCACTAATTTCAAGCTCAGTGATGGCAACTTCAGCAACCTCAGATTGCTCTGAAGTTTTGATCTTGGTAACCTTCTTATAAATAGTTATCTCATCACCTTCTATTCGAATTCCTCCTTTCATGGACCTTAGGAAGTTGGTACCTATCAGCATTTCAATGCCATTGCTGCCATGCATATCAAATGCATATATAAGGGGAGTTTTGAACTTGTTTCCCTCGATGAGAAAATAGCCTTGCTTTATTTTGTGAGTTGCCTGCTGTCTTGAATTTAAACCATTAAAGAAAACACTGTGGTTTAAAGGTTCAAGTGCTTCTTCTGGAATAACCTTCTTGTTTATGCAGCATGCTGATGCTCCTGTGTCTATTATTGCGCCGATCCCAAATGCTGGGCAATTAGGGATATCAAACTCAACTTTTACGTTGTAAAGTGAGTTAGTTATCTTCCTAACTTTTGGGTTTGATGTAGCATTTTCAGAGTAATGAATCTCTGCTTCCATGAAGGGCCTTGCTACATGAAGTTCGCTTAACGGTGGGAATTCTTCTTTAGGGAATTGAGGCTTTTCCCTTTCTTCCTTCCTTTCTTGTAGTTGCTCCTTCAGCCTTCTTATTTCTTCGTTCTTTTGTTCTTCAAGCCTTACTTGTTCAGCTTTAAGCTGATCGATTATCTTAAGAGTATCTGTGAGATCTTTTGTTAGCAAGCCTTTTTCAAGCTGCCATGCTTCCTCTCTCTTTTGTATTTCTGCCTTGGTCTCATAAAACTCTTTGGCTTGATCCTTAATCATCTGCTGCATTTGCTCCGTCTTCTCTTTCAAAAGTTCTTTGAGAAGCTTTATTTCCCTATTGGTAAAGTCACTTTCTTCTTCCGGCTTAATCTGCTGTTTTTTCTTAACGTTAACTGTTTTGCCAAGATAATTTTTGGCGCAAAGAGCACATGTTGTGAGTTGGCAATTGGGACAGTTAAGTCTTGACACGTCTGTGGTTAGTATTCCACAGTAATAACAGATCGTGTAATTTGTGACTGTTTTTTCCTTCCAATCATGCTCACAGTTTTTACTTTGAGCTGGCAATTCTTTGCTTGGTTTCCACGATCCTACAGATTGAACCATATCTGCTATTTTTGTTGGTGGTCCTGGATGGAACATGAAAGCATAATGACTATGTTGGATATCCTCTCTTTCATCTTCGCTGCTACTTTCATTATCTTCATGTGTTATTGTGAAAGCTGCTTCTTCAAATGGAGTATCTTGGACCATAACACTGATGCTTTGATGGGTATCGCCTTCTCCTTCTGATATACTATAGACACTGGTGTCATCAAAGTCTGCTGAGACAATGTCCCAGTTGTCATCAAGATCCAGTTCTTGATAGACAGCTGATCTTGCAATGTTCCTTGCTTGCTTTTGCAATCTTTTGCGAAATGCCCTTCCTTTCCACAAATAAAGCATTTGCATTTCTTGACTCTTCCTCTGTCATCTTTGTACTTTCTTATGAATGGCTTTACATGAGAACCATGTGGCTTTCCTTTGTAAGTCTTCGACTTCCTCATTCCATACTTTTTCCTGTTGTTTTTGTAATAACCAGGAATTGGTATGGCTGAACAAAGAGATAAATCTCTAAGCTCTTTGGCAAGCGCATCATCTTTGCACATTTCTGAGATGAAAGTATGAGTGAATTTGATTGCAGGCAGAACTCCTGAACTTAGACCAGGGTACCTGGCTTTAAATGATTCTTCAACTTTCTTGGATAGAGAAGGTGGAAGTTTAGCAAAAAGTTTTTCTGTTGTTGAGGGGAAGTACAGCCTTCCAGACTTTATTGCTAACTGCATGAAATCCTCCAAGAATGTCCACAAGTTCTTGGTTTCTTCACAAGTTATTCTGTCTAGATCTCTGTAGGCTCTGTCTTGTTCATCAGTTGAGCCTCGGTATGGATCTTCTAACAATATTAACTGCCTAACTTGTGATGTTATATTCTGTGGTTCATCTGCGATTGCTTCAAGGGCAGCATATACATCTGGGTATGCCGTTCGCCATTGTTGCCACATTAACTTTTCGCTTTCTCCAAGAAGATTTTCAACAAAGGCTAATTTTGCTTTGTTGTCAGTCCATGTTTGGCTATTGAGCCTATTGATTGTTATAGACTCCCATCGTGCTATTACATCTGACCATAAGCCTGGATCTGCTGGTAGAACAAGCATTACACCTGATTCCGTCCATGCTGGTGGCAGAGTCCACTGTGAATTATGATATTCACCATATCCTCCATCAAAAATATTGCCTTTTACTTGAGGGTAACCAAACTGGTAGTTTGGTCTATAAATTGGTTGTGGATTTTGCCGTGCTGGTGGGTAAACAGCTGGTCCTAATATTGCATCATCTGGAGGTTGATAGCTTGCACCAAATTCTGCGTCATTTGCTGTTGGAAAAGCATGTTCTTCGTGTTTTTTGACCATTTGTGCTGCCATTTGTTTAAAGTTGCGAAATTTTGGGTATGGCAGATTGTCATCATCTTCTTTGGAAAGATGAAGAATTGTATGGTCCTCACCATGCTTCGCTGCGAATGGGTTTTCCCATTCAGACTCTGATCTTTGTGTGGCGAGTTGGTCATCCCATTGTGGCAAATATTCATCAAGAAAATCTTGTTGGTTTTTTGAAAATTCTTCTCGTAGGACAAGGATCTTTCCACCATTTCTTTCGTCATCATCCCAGTCACTTGTTTTGTCCATAATTGTCACTTTTCCTGGGGTAATTTCATCATCTAGGAATCCATCTCCCCAGCCAGTTGCTGCAATTTCTTCTATTGAAGTTGTGCTTACTGAGGTATCGTACTTGACATAATAGTCCCATTTTCCAGATGGTTCACCAAGAGTTGACCATTTATGTTTTGATCGTCTAGGCTTATTGGAACGTCTTGCTGTGTTCAGTGGCTCATTCTCCAAGATCCTTGCTTCATCCAGACATTCTTCACAGAAACATATATCACAGGGGATATGTTTTGTCTGAGGTGTTTGAAAACATACTCCTATAAAATGCTCTTCATCTTCGTCCAAATGATCGTTACCTAATACTTCTCGATCATTCTGGTCAACAGAGTATCTTGCTGGTTGGGGGATTCGGCGATATCTTTCAAATTGGAGACTTAATGATCTGTTAAGCCTTTCATGTACCGCTACTCTTGATGGTACACTTATTGATGTTTGCTCAGATGGCTTTAGATTCCAGCTCATTCCTTCAAGCTCTTCTATACTCCTTCTTTCACCAGAAATTGCCGTGATGCCATTTGTTGTGAGATGGTCCACAACATTTTCTACGCTATATTGGAATCCCATATAGTTAGTGTTTGATAGCCTACCCGTCATGGCTATTGTAATCAAAAGATTACTTTCGCCGCCTGGCCAAGTTTCATACCCATGAGTTTGTATGACAACTTCTACATGATTATGGAAGTCCTCAATACTTAGAACCATATCAGGGAACATGTAGACTAGCTGCATTCCTGCAGAGAGGTCGACTTCCATAGTTCTAATGATTTGTCAACTATCTTCCCATCTAGTGTCCCGAAGGACAACTAGAGCATTTGTTCCCGCACTTCTCCGGTGGAGTGCATGTAGCCTGATCATGAATATTCCTAGGTGAATATGCTGGAGCCCTGAAGTTCTCAAGTTCTGGTAGCTTTCTTGGTTACACAGCCGAAGGTTAACTTGATTTTCTCCAACACATAGGATTCTTTGCTCAGAGTAGTGTTCATAGACTTTGTGTCTTGTAGTACTTCTATTGTTTGAATAAAGTACTTCTGCTGGAACAAGATTTGCCCTTCTCTCTCTTGATATTTCAAGTTGTCTTTCTGGATCTACAACAGACTCCAAGGTGCGATTATAGCTGTTTCTTCCAAATACTCTTCTTGTTGCCCTAGCTGGTTGATATCTGTTTCGGGTCATTTGTCGATAACCACGAATTTGATCTTCTTGAGTTGGGAGTTCTGTTTGAGTTTGTGTGGAACTCCTGTTGAGGATGCTAGGCCTTCTGAAAGTCATTTCTTTGATTCTTTCCCAAACTGTTCTTTAAAGATTTTGTTAGGATCTTCAAAGACGTAGATTTGCCCGTTACTTTTCTTTACTGGAAGTTTCCCACTAATAGAGAAATTATCAAGTCTTCTGGTTAAGCTTGATATTGAGTCTTCAAGATCTGCTGGCTGAGTATTTTGTTTGATAACAGTTTGAACTTCTTGTTTGAGCTTGTCAAACTTTTCTTAATCTCAATCAGTTTCTGACTTTGCTTAGTTGCTAAGTAAAGCAAGGTGTTGTTTTGTTTTATAACAACCTTTACTTGGCTAACTAGAGCTTCTTTGTAGTCGGTTGTTTTTGCAAAACCAACTGCTGGTGATTCAAAGTCTTCAGTGGCTTGTATGGCTTCCTGATACTCAGTAGTTGCCTTTTGATTGGCAATACTCATCCGGTGATGAGCCTCTTGACTTCGTGAAGAAGATTTTCAACCTTCTGGGTTTTATGATTGAGTTCTTCTGTTAGTCTGAGGGCTTCTTTCTCAACTAATTTTGGTTGCTCAGCTATTTCTTGAACAAGGCTGAGGACTTCTCTTTTTGTGAGTGGTTTAGATTGATGGATCTCAGTTGAGATTTGTTGAAAGCTTTTTCTGGTTTCACTCTGAGTTTTTCTTAATAACTCCTCACAGGATTCAAGCTTCTCTTGACAACTTTGGACTTTTGACTCAAGATCTTTTTGTTTTTCAGAAATACTTTTAAAATTCTTAAGTGCTACTTTAGAAAAGAGATTTAAACGATTATAAATACAAGCTAAATTATTGGCTAAATCGGTAGTTGTAGGTTTAGAACTATTTTCTTTAAAAATGATATACTCAAGATCCACAGTTCGTGAATTATCGTACCAATTTTGTATCTCTTGCTCAAAGAGATCGGACATAACATAAAAACTTCAAAGGTTTATATTTACAAACTTGTTTTAGGACTCACCAAACGGTTAACTTCAAACACTTACCGACTCTTTTTGGTACATTTTAATAGAAGCAATTGCGTTGTCTTTTATCTAAAAACAAGGGTTTTTATGAAGTTTTTAACAGAAATGTTACCGTAGAAATACAAGAAATTGATAAAATAATACCTTTACTGTTTTTCCTGATTATAGCTTAGGAGTTTAGCCTTCCATAGAGCTAAGAACGTTTTGATTCAAAGCTCTGATACCAAGATAAAAATTACGTTGCCAACAATTTTTTATCTTGTACTAAAGCTCAAAAACTAAAACTTTAAAGTACACACCTTTTTATTAAAATACTGCGGAAGCTTTGTTACAATGGTGGTGGTGGTGATTGTAGGTGAATGAATTCGATGATCCCAAACTTAGAACTTATGCCCTTATATAGATGGGCTTACAAACTATTGGACAAGAATAAAAACGTAAGCGATGACGTTTAAACAAGGGCCATTATTTAATTTATTACATGTGGCCGACAATCTTGATAATTATAAATATACTTTTAACAAGTGGTGGGGACTTCTTGAAGATTTCTGAACATCCAAACAACTCAACTTTTGAAAACCCGTGATATGTGAAATAATTTCACATACGGGCCCTTCTAGCTTTTGGATAAAGGTATGGATCCATGGGACGATTCAATTTTATCGTTTTTAGACAATAATCATCCCACCCGGGGTCCACAATAAAAATTGAATCGTCATCACGGTTGTCACTATCTTCTAGAAATCCTTTGCTGTTGTAGCGGCATTTGTTTTCTTTTTGGTTATTGTCTTGGACTTCCATGGGCTTAGATATTATTGCGGCCCAATCGTTGTGCGAGGGCTTCCAGTTCGATGAGGATTCTTCGGGCTTCTTTGTTTTGGATTCGAACATCTTCCTTTTGGTCAGACCAATGGTTGTCTCTTGTTGTTTTTCCAAAGCAGACTTGAGCTTTGCACTGTATGATTGCTTGTAAATTTCGCATTGCTTTGATCGCTTCTTTTGCTGCTGATAATTCGATATCTTGGGCGACTGATCTCCATGCATCAGATTTATCCATTCTGATTGGGGTTTGATTGGCTCTAAGCTGGTATTGTCTGTACATTGCTCCTGGTTCTTCCAGTGTGAAGATTGTTTTAGTAAAGATTCTTGGGAGTGGTTGAAAGTCTTCATGATTTCTTCGCAAGTAATCTTCATATTCTTCTGAGAGGCAGAAGGGGATTGTAGAACTTCCTCCACTGAGTAAAGGGCTGCTGCTGCTAACCGTTTCATTTCTCCTGTGCATTCTGCAAAACAAAGGTTAACAAGTCTTGAGAGAGAATCAGCTAGTGTATTATGTTTCCCTTCTATATGCTCTATGTTAATCTTGACGCCTGTTCCTGTGACTGCATCTGCAAACTTTATCCACCTGACCCTTGAGGATTTGTTGCTATTAGCTTTGTTGTAAAAGCTAATAATGGCTTGGCA